ACATATGTTTCTTCTTGTATTGGGGCGATAATATGCTCTATATATAAAAAAGATAATGCAGCTAGAGATTTTTGCAATTGATAATTATTTGACTTATGTAGTAAATAGATTTTATTGTGTGAGAAAAACTGGCTACAAATTCATTCTTTAGCTTGTCAAAAGTTATGCAAGACTATTAAGATTCATTTCAACTGATTCTCCATATATGATATTTGTAAAAGAACTGAAATCAATTAGAGATTAATAAACTGGAAAGGAAATCGACAAGATTATAAGCTATTGAAACGATTCTCATGGAGTTATAACTTATGCCAGTAGATTTCTTCATATGAAAGTAATTATAATTAAATTTGTTAAAGCAAAGACTTAATGTATATTGAGCAAAGAGAAAAAGAAACAGGTGAAACTAAACGTTAATAGATTCATATGATATAGCAAGCTCTAAACATAAATAATATCTGCTAATATATAGAAGGCCAAATGCGGAGTTGCATGAGATAGACTGATGGACATTAACTCGACTGTTGATACTGATCAAGATTAATGCATTAAGAGACACCTACAGAGTTTGTATTTTAGTGTCTTGTCATAATTCAGAGCTGAAGCAGAGCTTGATACATGAGCTACGAGTCAGAGCTCGCATGGCGTAGCGAACTCATAAACCATTCAAACAAAGTGCCAGAAGTAACAGAAGAAATCAAAGGCAAAAGAAAAAGAAAACAATCGAATGCACATTGTGTCATGTCATTGCCAAATAATATTTCACACGTAAAGCTAGCCAAACAGTTCGAAGCGAAAACCCACAGAAATGCGGAAAAATAAGAAATATTACGCGCACAGCGGACGGAGGGAGCGGGGGAAATGCTCGTTGTATGTGGCAATGGGAAGAGAAAGACGGAAAATCTACAATATATTGCCAACTATTATGTTATTGTGTGAACGTGCACTGATTTCGGCAGCCAGGCTTTGTCCACGTGCAATATTTTTCAGTTCCGGGCAAGGATTTGGCTTGAGTCCGGTTGCTGTTACGGGTGCTAATGCCGGCTGTGGACGGTGCTGCTGCTGCTCAGCGTCTTATCGAGGCGTATAACATATATCATTGACACTTTGACATTGGCGAGCAACTGGGGAGTCAAAGTGTGGGCCATGACCGACCGGATTTTAGTACTTTTCAAAATGGCACTTAATCATGGCAGCCGCCTGGCACAGGAAAATGCGGAAACTGGCACACACACCACGCGTAATCGCATGTGTTCACGCTTGAAAGGATAACGACGTCGACGGAGGCTTGCTGCCGTGGACGGCTGTGTGGACTGCGAGGGCTGCAAGGACTGCGAGGACTGCAAGGACTGGCCTCCTGCCGTCGGACCACCAAAACGAAATAAGATTAATGACTTGGCAGCGAGCAAACGGAGCTGTACTCTGCATGAAGACGGCGCAAAAAGGACATGCTGCCTGGCATTGGATAAATTGTTTGCTACTTGGACTGTCATTAGTCGAAAAGTTTGTTTGTTATTGTGTTAAGTGTTATTTGTGCGCATATCCAAGTGTCAGGCTGCCAAGCTGTCAGTCCCCTCGCCTCCGGCTCACCCTCTCTCTCTATCTCTCTCGCTTGGACTGCTTTAGTTACTCTGTGTATCGTTTATCACTTTCGTTTTGGACACAGCCCAGAAATTCGCATGTCATGTTTGGCGTCTATGATGACGCTTGAATCCAGCACAAGCCAAACAAAAAATTGCCAATGACCACAAAATTTGTGAAATTAACAGACAAAGACCGGAACGGACTAACGGATAGGGGAGGCTGGGCGGATGTGTACTTGGCCAATGCATACGTTTCGTGTCCTTTATTTGTGCATCTAATGGCAGCAGCGTGACTTGGGATATTCCCTAGACTTGGAGTAGTGCCACGGATTGGTGTTTGCTAAGCCCATTAAGAGACGAGAACAATATGAAATGCGGCATTAAGAATGCCTCAATAGAACGGAAATAAACCTCATTTATCAAAGGCACTTCGAAGGCATATGAAAAGTCACTTATTTACCATGCTCGACTCTGTCTCTAGCAGTTGGGAGCATTGTTTCAACTCAACAGCAGCTGAGCCAATGCATGGCAAACACACTCATCAGCTGAATCTATTTACAGCTCTATCAATCCAATCAAAGATCAATCACAATCAAACAAAATTTACCTAAATCAACGAGTGAATTCCGCATTACTTCCAGGAAATCCACAACACGCTTTATGTACAGCCGAATATAAATGCTAGGTGAGATAATGCACACAACTCTCGAGCTCTTACTCAACTTTGAATATTGGGCTAGTGCTTCTCACATATTTGGCCCACAGAATCATCCATCAAATGCGATTTCAGATGCTGGCAACAATTATTTCGTCTATTTTATTTTTAAACTGAATTAACGTGCTGTGAATGTTGCTGTTGTTGTTGTTGTTGTTGTTGATGCTAATGTGTTTTTATTACGTGAAAATTAAACGAAAAGAACACGCCAGAGCATGCCAGTTCTCAAGATCATTTTATGGGGCTGGTCGAGCCCGAGCCCGAGCACGACCCCAAACCAAACCCAAATCCTATCTCTGACAGGCTCCTGCTGCGCCGCGTCGCAAAGTAGTAGGCGCTGATTGATAGAACAAAGTAAAAATCAAATAAAAAACAAAACATTCAACTATGCACGGCCTCTGCCATATTGCGGTGCCAGATCAAAGACCGCCCCGAGATCTGTAATGACAGCTTTGATCATTGTTTTGCCTTTGATTTTTTCCGGTTTGCTGCCCATTGCCCGTTACCCGCTACCCGCTGCCCGCTGCCGATGTAGAGCGCCCCGGGCCACGTCGGGCCGTTGTCGATCTCGAGGCCGAGGCCCGTACCCATCCACATTTAGTACTCGCATTTGTAGCATTTTACGAGCTATTTCGCGCCTACTTAACAGATCTTTCTGCTCAGCTCATTACGGCTCTCTTGCGAGTGGCTATTATAACACCTTGTTTTATAACTGTGTCATTTTGCTAGAAGGCCAACGCTGAATCTCATGTGCTAACCTCTTATGCTATTGTCAAATAGGCAAATATATCTTTATTCGTTGGCTTACTCACACGTGTCTATATAACTCAGTGAGTCTGAGGTGACTCGATGGCACGACTTATGTTTCAGCTGATCAACAGAATAAAATAAAATCTTATTTATAAAGCAGACATCAAAAAGGCCCATTCTTATTCACATTGAATACTGATACTTGTATTATGTTCTTATCAAATTAATTATACGCCAAAATTATATAATAATCCAGAAATTCAATTTACTCTTGTATCAATACCATCGACGCTATTCCAAGTCGTTTTACTATTTATCTATATGAGGTCTTTATATGTATATATCCAGACATCTGCATATTTATATATATCTATTTATATGTATCTATTTAAGTATATATCCACATATCTACATATTTATATATATCTATTTATATTTAAGTATATATCCACATATCTATCTATCTATCTACATATCTACATACCTACATATCTATATATCTCTATCTATACAGATACATTTTTTTATAAATCTATGTATCTATATATCTATATATCTATATATCTATATATCTATATATCTATATATCTATATATCTATATATCTATATATCTATATATCTATATATCTATATATCTATATATCTATATATCTATATATCTATATATCTATATATCTATATATCTATATATCTATATATCTATCTATATATCTATCTATATATCTATCTATATATCTATCTATATATCTATCTATCTATCTATCTATCTATCTATCTATCTATCTATCTATCTATCTATCTATCTATCTATCTATCTATCTATCTATCTATCTACCTACCTATCTATCTATCTATCTACCTATCTATCTACCTATCTATCTATCTATCTATCTATCTATCTATCTATTAATTAATTTACCTATATATCTGCCGTTCTGTCTATAAATTAATTTATAAAATAGTTACCTTTGTGTTAGCTTCACGTTAACCTTCCACAACTTCGAAGTGTGACAAATTCGATAAAAAAAAAATGCATATAAGAAATTGACTCATTAAATACGCTAGATGATGATAGTAAAGGCAATTGCCTACATGCGTACATCTACTTCAATCTTGATATGTAAATTAAATTGAACCGATTATGTAGTTAAGAATAGCCCCAAAGATACATCTGTTAATCCTTCAGTAAGTTCCAATCGAATTCAGTTTTAGTCAGTAACTCACTATGCGTAATATATAAGCCTGAAGATAAAAGATTTCTCAAAGTTTAGTGGGACAGGCTATGTTTCGGTAAAGCTGTCCAATTACCAATACTTTTCGACTTCTTAGTCTTATTTATTTTATGATGATGGCATTTGTGGGAAATTTTCTATTTGTGTAGCCAGCTAATCAGTGCAAACACCACAAAAATGTCAAGAGGGATTGAGCAGAGAAAACAGCTGCAAATTTTCCAAATTTCTTTTGGGCCCACCACAAAATTTGTCCACACTGCCTCGAACAATTTATGACATTTTAAAACCCCTTTCGAGTTCTACAGTTCGCTACGCGCTGCGGCTACCAAATTAGAAAAGACAAACAGTTTTCAAATAAAAATCACGTAAACTGTCGCCTCGATTTCAAATGAATCGAGTCGAGCACACTCTGAATATTTGGACTTAGGCACGATTCTCTGGCTCCGAACACCATCATAAATAATGGGAGCTGCACTCTATTCCGGGAACCCTTTCTCTGGACGGACGAGCATCTAGCTGGCGGGCTATCAATTTATATTTGGTTGCTAGCGTAACATAAATTCTAGAAACCACAAAATATAAATTTATGTAATGCCTTCGCAGAAGAGCACAAAACAATGATGAGGCAAACAGTAAGTGCTTCTGTTGTTAACACGGCCAATAAATCAGAGATCGTGAGCGAAGTCTGCCCAGAAGCGACAATCTCCAGTTTGATTGTATTTTCAGAAATCCGTAACCCGACCCTTCCTCTCCCAGTCCCCATAGCGCGTGGGCTCTGGTCCAGGCGGTCCGCCAACCTCACCTGTGTTAGGATTGGTATTGTTTGGCCAGGGCTTCAGCGGCTCCTTCTCGTGCGCCGGATGTGGCATGGCCTCATTCGAAAAGCTTTTAAGAGGTGCTTCCGATCGCAGCCTGTCCTTGAATCTCAAGTAGCGCTCGCTCGGCACTGTCACTTGCTTTGTTCCTTTCAAATCGGCTTCCCGCTCTTCAGTAATGAGTTCAGGTAATACGGAGCTAGCGCTAAAAGAGCGCACTGAAGTCACGAAAAAACACCTTTGACGACCAATAATACATCGAAACATTTCAATGCACATAAAACCAAAGATACAAATCTCAAATTTTGAAAACTTCTTTTTTGGAGCAATGTATGTCTGTCTGTTTCAATATAAGCTACATTTATGTCTAACTGTTTGTTTTGTTTGTTTGTTTTATTTGTATACCCTGAAAACTAAATAACATTCCGAACGAGACATGGCCAACTCCATTCATTATTAGCATAGAACAATTGATCTAGCCCTGCCTTTTCGCCGTTTGGCTAGGCTCAAGAGTCTTAGAATTATGCACGTAAGATATACATTATAATTTCGTTTATAGCAAGAATATATATAATATATGTATAATATAAATATATATAATATATATAAATTCCTTTTCAAATATTAAATTTCGTAGTATCCCTCTAATCGGTTCATCTCCCTTGACTTTTTCCATTAATTTAGATGCTAGATGAATTCTTAATCTAGTATTTTTCATTGAAAAACATGTTAAATATTCTAGTCTCTTTATACCTAAGCTCTGCTTACAGAACAAGTTAGTTTTATTCAAGGTTTGATCAACTGTTCGTTCATTACTGAAGAAAGTTAATCAATCATATTTTAGCACTGTATTGATAGAACTCTGATCGAGCTATTTTGCCACGTGATTAACATTTGGTAATTGAACATTCGATATGCATGGCGTATCGCTAACAAAATTAGCTGAACGCGTCGTGGCTGCTATTGTATTGCATCTGTTTGACATTATGCACTCGAACAGCTTGTCCAAACAGTTTGATGTGAGTCTAGTTGACAGGAGAGATCAAATGTCTGCGTTTAAAGCTCGACTAACTGCTGCTGGAGAGTTGACTGGCAGACTGACAAGCAGACAAACTGACAGAGTGACAGACTGGCGGACTGACAGAGTCTAATGACTTTGCAGCAAGTAGTAAGAGCAACGGTTGCGATAAAGATAAGCTACGAGTAGTTATTTCAACTTCCGGAACTGAGTAGCTAGTTGGCAGTTAGCTAAACAGCTAAACAGCTAAACAGCTAGATGGAGAGATGCAGGCTGTCCGGCTGTCAGGCTGTCAGGCGGTAGTCGACTGTCGGCTGTCAGCTGGGCCGTTAGCTGATTCATTCATTGATGGCAGCAATTAAAACTGGACATGTGTTGCTGCAACCGGGCCTTGAGATAGCGAAGCCTGCTCTGATCGTGTCAAGCGGACAACCATTCAACATAAGTCGCTTCGCGCCCGTCTCCAAAGCAACGCCTCACAGAGTCGGAGTTGGTGCTGCGGGCGGTGCAACTTCAAAGCATTTTAAATATGGCTTGTGCACATTCCAGTTGGAGAGCCGTGCGAGATGGAGAGGCAGACAGGGGGACAGCCGCAGTGCAAGTGTCTGTCACGCTGGCGCAAAATCACAGCGACATTGCAAATTTGTTCTGCCATCCAACAGCCCACTCGGAATCGGAGGAGCTGCCTGGTTGGCATCTTTTATTATGTGCTCTGGGCTCGGCCTCTGCGTTTTTTGCACTGCTTTCTTGGGGCAACATTAAAAGTTGCCGGCTGTCAAGAGTCGCATGCGTTTGCATCGTTCTCCTTGTTGACTGCAAACTTTCTTTCTTTTCAAGCCCCCGTCACAGCATGCGAGTTGCAGTTGAAGTTGGAGTTGGAGTTGGTGGCTGAGATTGAGGTTGTTAATTCGCCGTTGTCCCGCTCCGTCTGTCAGCTGGCTGTGGTTATTGTTGCTGTCTCTTTTCGCTGCGCGCGGCAAAATTGAAATTGTTGCCTTAACGTTGGCATGACAATAATCTCGCAAATCTGTTTAAATTAAGCGAGACAAATGTTTCTTTTGCCCATGCACTTTTGTGGCAGCCCAATCAGACAACCCGACAACCAGGCAGTCGGGCAGTCGGGCAGCCAGGCAGCCGGGCAGCTTGTTGCCGTCCTCCACGCTGTCCACATGTGTGATAGTATTTATCTTGAGTATTTGATGCCAGCCTGACATTTTCATCTCGTACTAAATTCGAGAAAACTTGCGCACAATAAACGCTCAGATGGCTTTTGATGTGAAACTTTTACAAAATCTTTCAGCATTCAGTTTTATATCTGAAATAAATTTGCTCAGCATTTAAATTTTTGGCTGAGATGCGTGAATTCAAAAGGAAGTGGAACATCTATGTCAATAGTTGCTGCTGAAAATGAGGTCTTCCTTGTTCAAAATAATGTTTGAAAATTGGGTTTAGACTAATTTGGCTTAGTCTTTATAGAATAACTGAAAGTCGATCAGCTTCTAAAATATAGTTTCTTATAACAATTGTTGGTTATTTACTGATAATTCACATTTCATTGCGAGCTACAAGAACTATACTCAGAAGAATAACACTTGATATATATTGATTTAAAATTTGTTCGATCATTTGCAATAGCAAATAATGAAATACTAAGAAATACGTTCAATTTACAGGCATAGCAAATCATTCAGTAGTTTCTATTTTATAAATATTATCGTAGTTTTATTTTGTGTATCTTTTTCTAGCACATAAACAATTCAAAGAAATATGAAATGGTAAATCGTAATACAGAAAATAAATTCAAGTTTTAATGAGAAAACTTTTCTGATTTTATTCTGACTTTATTAAACATAGTCTTTTAGTCGTAATTTAAGGAAATATTACAGTGAAATAAAATGGTTAAACTATTGAAATAGAGCGGTCGAAAGACGCGATGCGAATTTATTTTTAGGTTGCGAAAATATTTTATAAAACTTACACAGACATTAATTAAATCGTATAAAATACGAAGACTGCTCGGTTCCTGTAGCTTTGATCAGCCGTCAAGTGGTTTGATCGATTTGCAACAATAAAAATTCACCGACAACTTGTTCATAATGAAGATCTGTTGTTGCCTCCACCTCATTGCCGATGTGGCTGGTCGATCTTGTTGTTTTGGTGCGCACGGCGCATCAATCACCCGAAAGCTGCGTAGCGATCTCTGCGGCGTTGGGGTTGGGGACGGGGATTGATGTCGGCAGCGGTATATTGCTGAGGCCAATTGCCGGAATGCTCGACTGCCCACCCGTATACTTGTTTGATCCTTTTTTATTTTACGGAACAATCGAGCATTTTCACACCGTAATAAAAACCTCAAACATGTTTGTAAAGTTGTTAATGCTGCTGTGCTGTACCATGTGTAGGTGGGAGCAGCGCATAAATTAACATTTTGACTGCCAACTGGCGCGGCAAATGATCAAAGACACTTCTGTGCCGTCATCGTTGCGTTGATCATCGTCATCGTCATTGCCACTGGGGCAGACGCAGTAGGAGTCTGAGTCGGGGTCGCAGGCGGAGGCGGAGGCGGAGGCGGAGGCAGTGCCGGCATCGTGAACATCATTTCACGTTTACGATCCATCAACACGAGCCATCAAATTGTATACAAACAAACGCAACAAAGATCAAAAGCCATGTACCTACACACACACCCAAACACACACACACACACACACTAAATGCTCATTTCGAATTTCAGATTCATTTGAATAAAATCTGGAACCGGGTCCCGCCATTTGAGAGTTGCCTTTCAACAGCCAGCGCTACCGTAGAGACACTCTACTCAGGCAATCGAAATGGAAATGAAAATGGAAAGGAAAATGAAAATGGAAATGGAAATGGAAATGCCTCTTCAGCTGCAATCTTAATACATATTCCACTCCTCTCACATGCTCGGCTAATTACTCATGTGTCGGCAACTCGGCTGTCGGCCCGACTGTAATGCATTTCTCATGTGCCCCTCTGTGAGGATTGTCTTAATCCCTTACGTCGAGTGTGCACAATATGTCTCTTATTTGCATGTGAAGTGGATGTTGATTTAGTTGAAGCAGGGTGTCAAAAGGAAGCCCAAAGCGTATTTACTGTGGACTTAAACAGTTTTCGCTCATCTGAGTTGGGTATCAAAAACTTAGAGAGATCTGCAAATAAAATTGGCAAGTGACAAAAGAAGCTAATCACAGTCGGGTGTATAAATAGTTATAAACAATGTGAAGCTTGGAATATTATTATAGCACTCATTTAAGACAATCAGTGTAATAATAATGGGAATACACAAATACTTAAACAGCCTTCAAGTTATATTTCGATGCGTATTTCTATATCATATATAAAAACTCAATAATGTTGAGATATATTATAAAAGATCTTCTGACACTGGATCATTGAACGTCTGTAGACTGGCTTCTTATCAAATTTTATTAGTCTTAGGCAACATTGTCCTAGCTATGTACTTAATCAATATATATGTGACTCGAATATAAATTTCTATCTCCTTTATCCAAACAATGAGAATATATGAAGCTATTCAAAAATTACTTTGAAATCTGATTCCGAATCTGATTGATCTGAAGTAATATCAAATAGAAGAAAGTTAACATTGACTAAATAATAAATTAGAATACCTACAACTTCATATACTATCAGGTATGCTTAAGTAATTAGAATCTGTTGCTCATAGCACGCACAGCATGTATTTAGATTGTGATTAGAAACGAGTCTCAAGGTATCTAAGTAACTTGCAGCAGTTTCTATGCCTATCAAATGACAGCAGCGTCAAAAAGCTGACAATTTATATGTGGGCCGTTTGTCAGACTATAAAAATGCTCAGATTTAATGCCAATGAGCAGCATGTCAAATTCAATTTTACCCCTAAGATTGATACGGACGGACGCACCACCAGCACCAACAGGGAGACGACGTGCGATGTGGACGCAAGACCCCAATAAAGTGCAATTAGCCAGATTTATGATTATCCCTGTTATGCACAAATAATTTTTGGACAATTTTAGATATGTCTACGACGGGCGACGTACGTTTTGGGCGAAAAGCCAGCGCATAATTTATAACACCAAACGTAAACAACAAAGAAGACAAATCGCTTTATTCACGGCAGTCATTCCGCAGTCGCCGCAAAAACACCCCCAGCTGTGCGGCACCAGGGGATGGGCTGCTGGGGTGGCCTGGCCGGGGCTGGGCTGAGTAAACACCCCTTTGTTTGTGATCTTCTGGTTGAGAAATATGGGCTGACAGCATTATGCCCATGACATGACGGGGTCCATGGCCCTTGTCGTCACCGGAGGCACATAAAATCAAATTGAAATCTGCTCGAAATTTGAT